AAAAAAAAAAAAAAAAAAAAAAAAAAAATTTTTTTTTTTTTTTTTTTTTTTTTTTTGTCTTTTTTCCATGTCCGGCAACGGATCGCAACCCTCAGTGTTGCCCCCGTACCGGACCGGGGACCGGCAACGGGATCGCAAACCTCGGTGTTGCTCCCGTGCCTCGCTCAGCCAGTGAGCGGGAACCGGTCTGTATGTGGGATCCGAACCCTCGGACGGGAGCGCCGCTGCGCTTCCCAAGCGGCGCACTATCCAGTGCGCCACCGGGCCGGCCCCAGAAATCATTTTTATATTAAAATAAGTATAGCTATATCTTGAATCAAGACATAAATTTTGCATAAATTCTTTTTTAAATGAGTCTTCAGAGAAGTTCTGTACTTATGGCTGGCCACTTAAATTACACTGCCACACCCTCCTGGGTTACACATTTCCTCTGAGATGTGCTGATGGAAGTGATTTTAAGGGCTCAGAGGAGGAGACCCCAACTTGTCTTAAAAAATCACAACCCCTACTACACTTTAATGCCTGAAAATTAATACATTCTTTTTTTCCTTGTTAAAAGATAAGTTGTTTTATGTTCGTCAGCCATTTATACCTCACTAGAAATGAATTTATCAGTTAATTGTCTGCGAGTAAGATAGACTAGGAGAGGGCATGTGCTATGCTAGGTTACCCAGGGTGATATGAAAAGGACACAGAAAGTAGAATCTTAGGACCCCGACATAATTACAATCACCACCGTTTTGACTAGGGAAGATTATCTCTGTCTGGATAATCTTATAATTCACCAAGCAGGGGCAGAAACAACTCCCCATGTTATGGTGCTTCTTAATGGAGTGTGGCATTGTACATATTTTTTCTTCCTTAGGTCCAGTGTACCATGAGTTCTGTGACTGTCCAGAAGAGGATCCTCAGGCCTGGCAGAAAACTCTTTCTTGTCCAACCGAAGAACCACAGATTGCAAAAGACTTTGCTTCCTTCCCCAGCATTAATCTCCAACAGATGCTAAATGAAGTCCCCAAAAGGTTTGGGGACGAGAGGGGTGCCATTGTTCATTACACGATCCTTGATAACCTCATTTACCGGAGATCTTTAGGGAAATACACAGACTTCAAAATGTTCTCTGATGAGATTTTGCTGTCACTGGCAAGAAAGGTATGAGAATAAATTAATTGATTCCAAAAATAGTAAAATTTAATTATTTAGTTGTCACATTTAAATGCTTAAAATTATAATGGCAAAGGATGAAAATGGATTTCAAGCTCAGAAGTGTGCTTCTAAGATGTTTACCACTTGTGTGCTCATAAGTCCTCCACCTTTGTGGAGCTCACTTTCTTGGAAGATTTAAATTAATTGGCTAGAGACCCCCTCCGAGGTAAGTAAGCCATACAAGGCACTCCCAAGGTTTCTGTGAACTCCCAGATGTTTACAGCTTCTAGGTCACTTCTTTACATTCTCTGTTTCTGCTAAATACTCCTCCCATTCAGATTTCACCTTCTGCAGCTGTTTTCTTCTCTTTACCTCAAAATGACTTGAACTTAGAACACATGTAGTCAGTTCTTTCTGAAATATTTAATAAAGCCAAAGAACTGTAGTATTTAGTACCAAAGACAGAGGTTTTTCCAGCACTGTTAATTATACTTCTGTTTATTTAGGTCCTTCTCCCAGATTTAGAACTTTACGTTAATCTTGGAGACTGGCCCTTGGAGCATCGAAAAGTCAATGAAACCCCTGGCCCTATACCTATCATTTCATGGTGCGGCTCTCTGGATTCAAGAGATGTTATCCTTCCAACATATGACATCACGCACTCCACACTTGAAGGAATGAGGGGTGTTACAAGTGATCTCCTTTCTATTCAAGGAAATACAGGTAAATTAAGGTTAATTCTCTAAGAAAAAGTTTAGAGGCAAAAAAGGTGAAGGGTATGTTCAGTCAGAGAGAGTAAATGTATATGAGGGTACTTCAAAAGGTCCATGGAAAAAATGGAATTAAAAGATGATATGAATCTTTCCATGAACTTTTTGAAGACCTCTAGCATATTTAAATAACCATTCTTCTTATTTTATAACCAAGAAAAGAGAAAAACAGCACCCTAAATGCTGAAGTGGTTTGTTTAGCATCTTCTAACCCTACCTTAACTGAGTCTCCTTTGAGTTGGTCACTTGCAAATACAATTTGAAAATATGTATTTGGTGAAGTTGCCACTTAACATAATTTTGACTCCAATGCCTTTATGTTACCAGATGAGAGAATTTTGAAAATTAAAAATTATAAGCAAATAGAATTGTGATAGTAATATAATTTTAATATTACTACTTCCAACACTTTGTAAGGAATTCTTCCTTTCCTTTTTCTGCCTCTCTTGTTCCTTTAAAATCTGAATTCCTTTCTCCCTGATTGATGGCCTTAGATTTATGATATAACACAACTTTTTATTAAACCAAACTGTATGGGCAGAAAAAGCCCTGCCTTGTCTTTATAGCCTCTATTTCTGGTTATAGTGGTTTGGTGGACTTATTTGGTAGACAAGATCAGGGACTTTTTGTAAACTATCTAAAGATAACATGAAATGAAAACTGACCTACTTTTAATTTGATAACAGTGAATTCCTGAAAAGTGTGCTAAAATAATAGATATTGACTGCCTCCAGTTTCTATGCCTCATGATTTATCCTTTCAAACATTGACAGGTATTAAATCAATGACATCTTTCTTTAGAATAATAGAAATAAATTTAAATTAATTCTTCTAGACTATTTCCCTTCCAGGAAAGAGTGGATATAAATATATGTATACAGTTGAGTTTTATATACATATATATATATATATATATATATTTGCATCTAACAGCATATTAGAAAAAGTCTTCCCTGTATTCAAAATTCTGAGCAACCTAAGGATTAAAGATTTATGAGTATTACTTATGTAGGTTTTTTTGGTGACCCTGTCTAAGAACAAAGCCTAGGTCATATGTGGTTATGAAACACAAAAGATGGAAGAAGTTAATGCAGTGGGCCAAGTCACTGAATCTCTTTTTGCTTCGAACTTGGTCCAACATTTACTTTGGATATTACTTTGGGCATTTCCTAGGGTTGTACAACAGACAACACCAATATTTGTGTGAGCTCTCATAGCGGACAAAAGGGTAAAGTTACAGCATTCTTTTATATAATACAGCAAATAAATAAATAATAAAAAAATAAATAGACTGTTCTGAAAGTCTAAACTTGAAAGTATCTCTGGCAAGTTGAGACTCAATCCCATTTTTTTTGGAAATAGCATCTACTTTAAAAGATAAGTTGATGATAAAAGAGCTTTAATATCTTAAATGACAATGTTAGATTAAAGATGATATACTTACCATATAAAAAGTCAAGTTCATAATCATAGTTTGTTTTTATGGTCTCAAACTTCTAGGGCCTTCCTGGATCAATAAAACAGAGAAAGCTTTCTTCAGAGGTAGAGATAGCCGAGAGGAAAGGCTCCAGTTGGTACAGCTGTCCAAAGAAAATCCACAACTACTAGATGCAGGAATTACAGGATATTTCTTTTTCCAAGAAAAAGAAAAAGAGCTTGGAAAAGCCAAGTTGACAGGTTTCTTTGATTTCTTCAAGGTATGCATTTGAATCTTCCTGTATGGATATGAAGTGATAAACTTACGTTAAAAGTCTACCTGATAGGTGGGCTTAGGCAAATTTCTCCTCTTTTGTGAACTGACACACTTTCACACTTTCTTATCAGACACAAAGAATTACAAAACTCATTGTGGTTTCCTTTTTTTGTCTTTAATTTTGTCTACCAAATAGCTCAAAACTATACTTAATGCTCAAAATAGGAATATAGGATTAATCTGGGGTTTTGATGTATTTATTTATCTTTTCTCTTTTTTGTATTTATTTTAATAAGCTGGGAATATAAATGTCTTTTACATGAAGTGATCTCATGTCTTTTGTAAAAAGATTATAAATTCCATGTATGTAAAAGAGGAGCTGGAATTGGAGTTCAAGTCCTGCCTCTGCCACTAACTGTGGGACCTTCGTCTCTGAGTGTCTGGATTCTAAACACATGAGATACCTAGCTCCTTCAGAACATTATCATGAGGCTCAAAGGAGATAGAGATGTGAACAATGTGACAAAATCTGACTGGCTAGAAAACTCCTTGGTACCAATTATTTAAGAAATAGTTAGAGCTGGCTGGTTAGCTCACTTGGTGTGGAGTGTGGTGGTGATAACACCAAGGTCAAGGGTTCAGATCCCTTTACCCTCCATCTGCCAAAATAATAAAAAAAAAAAAAAATGAAAGAAATAATGACCAGATCTGGAAGTATATCCTCTTCATCTCAGTGTGATATAATGAAAAGAACAGGGGACTTGGACTCAGAGAATAGGGGTTTATATATTCCTCTGCACACCAGTTTTCTCTTTTATAAAAAAAAAAGGGGGAGAGGAGTTAAAATACCTGTTTCACATTGCTTTATAATTGAATGAGGTTTAATGTCTATGAAAAGAGCTTTTGAAATGTAAGTCAACGTCTATTAATCCAACAGATATGCAAAAAAAATACCTACTGTGTTGCTGGCATCTTGCACAAGTCCTTAAAATTCTCCAGATTTCTGTCTCAACTCTAAAACTGTAAAATAGAGATAGTGCCTTCCTGTTTCATAGGTTGAGTATAAAGAACAAATAATATTATGGAAAAATGAAAGTGTAAATTTTTATCAGTACTCATCTTGAATAAAGATAGAACTTTCAAAAATAGTTTTCCTACCTGGTTACAGAAATCGGGAGTCTCCATTACACAGACATAATTGGAAGAGGTATTCATTCCTATTTCCAAAAATTATTTATTATCTTATCTTTAAATGCATTGTATGTCTTAAAATTGATCTGCTAAAGGCTGTTTATGATTTTAATACAAAAAGAAACATAAGTTATAAAATAAAACTGTGAAACACAAAAGTCGGAAAATGGAAAGTAATTCCTTTGTATTTAGCATTACAGAGTTGATGAGAAGCAGAAGTGAAGCAAATGACTGCTTAAAAAATAAAAGCTTTGTTTGTTTATGTTTGTTTTTAACCTTCCAGTACAAGTATCAAGTGAATGTGGATGGGACCGTGGCTGCTTATAGATACCCTTATCTCATGCTGGGCGACAGTCTGGTTCTGAAGCAGGACTCACCTTATTATGAACATTTCTACGGGGCACTGAAGGCTTGGAAACATTATGTTCCAATTAAAAGAAATCTTAGTGATTTACTAGAGAAAATTAAATGGGCCAAGGTACACTTCCTGCAATTTTCATTTCTTTAGGGAATAACAAACTCACCAGTATTAGTTACATGAGTTCTATCCAACACAGTTTATTTTTGTTGTTGTTGTTGAAATATATTGATTATACATATTTACAAGGTACAGAGTTATATTTCAATACATGTATATGATGTGTGATGACCAAATCAGGGTAATTAGCATATTCATCATCAGTGCAAAACTTAAACATCTCTTTGTGATGTGGACATTGGATCTCCTCTCCTAGCTGTTTGATTGCGTGCAGTAAATTATTGTTAATTATAGATGCCTAGCTCAACTATACACCAATAGAACTTATTTTTCCTATCTAGCTGTAATTTTGTGTCCTTTAACCAACCTCCCACTATCCCCTCTCTCCTCCCCTTTCCTGCCTCTAGTAACCACAGTTCTACTGTCTCTTCCTAAAAGTTCAGTTTTATTTGTTTATTTATTTATTTTAGCTCCCACATACGAGAACACGTGGTATTTCTGTTTCTGTGCCTGGCTTATTTCATTTAATATAGTTTTCTCCAAGCTTATCTGTGCTGCTGCGAATGGCAGTATTTCATTCTTTTTTAAGGCTGAGCAGTGTACATTATTTGTGTACATATATCACATTTTCTTTATCCCATATCTGTCAGATATTTAGGTTCATTCTATATCTCAGCTATTATGAACACAAGGCAATTTAATTTGACATAATGGAATCAAAAGAAATGTTATTTTCTGAAATTCTTGTTCCCTTGAAATATCTAAAGAATCAACATCAGAATTGTTTTGTATAACCTCTATCAATATTTTCAAGGATTTTTTGAAGATTTGTAGTCCAGTGTTAAATAGAATATAGATTTTCTGGGGCCGGCCCGGTGGCGCACTGGAGAGTGCGCCGCTTGGGAGCGCGGCGGCGCTCCCGCCGAGGGTTCGGATCCCATGTGGAGACCGGTTCCTGCTCACTGGCTGAGCGCGGTGCGGGCGCAACACCGAGGGTTGCGATCCCGTTGCCGGTCCCCGCTACGGGCGCGACACCGAGGGTTGCAATCCCGTTACTGGTCAGTAAAAAAGACAAAAAGGTAAAAAAAAAAAAAAAGAATATAGATTTTCTAAATGAATCGTACTTATACACACAAACAAGAACACAGGAAATGCAAATTACAGATTGAAAAGACCACAGAGTTAAAGTACTTTATGCACAAGAAAACATTTAAGGCAATTATGGTACACTTTTCTTTTTCTCAGTTAGAAAAAAGGCACAAGTTCTTAACAAATGCATGTTATACAACATCCCAAGAATCACAAGTTTCCTGAAAAGGAAAATTATTAAAAAATTATTGTGTTTTATTATAAAACTATTAAAATTTACCCTTCCATTATAAGTCTTTATTCTAAGTTTTTAAGAAGCAATATATGGTTATGGAAATAACTGTGTGCCTGAGGCACAATCTTTTTTTGTGGCCCTTTATAAGAGCCAGAATTGCTTGCAAATGGCTTTTCCTGTGGACAGCATGGTAGAATATTAACTATTTTCCAAAAGTATAATTAGGAACACTGACTATTCCTGTTACTGAAGGAACAGACTGTGGATACTAATGACTGAATTTTTTGATTATAACAACAATATAGTCTTTTATAACTACCATTACAACTTTTGGGCTCTAACTGCATATCTAAATGGAGCTTTTAAAAGATGTTATAACATGAAAACTGATTCATTCTGCTCTCATGGAGAGAGGGCTAGGCTGGGGACACAGATGATGAATACCAAACTTATTTCCTGGACAGCTAGGAAAGTACCAAGATAGTCACAGTAAAGGCTGCATGTAGGTTGATGCACTGTGGGGGACTGAGAATTGGGGTCCAAACGTGTGTTCATTTCTCTTTAACAGAGATGTCTAGGAAAGTACTCTATTTTCATAGCCTCATCCTTAAGTTACATTTCCATGATCTTCCTTCTCTCCCATACTGTTCACATTCAACCCCACATCTGTCTCACCTCACACTCACCCCTAGTTTTCATTGTAAGTTGCAGGAGTAATTTTCATTCTTTTTTTTAATCTTTCAGGAAAATGATGAAGAAGCCAAGAAGATTGCAAAAGAAGGGCAGTTGACGGCTAGGGACCTACTACAGCCGCACAGGCTTTACTGTTACTATTACAGCGTACTACAGGTCAGTTCAGAGTGTCTATCCTGCTGGGTCAGGTGTCCTCAGATCACGTGCTGGGCCCGAGCCCCTTGTGCTGTGTTTCCTGAAGGACTCAGAGATCAGCCTATGGCCTGGCTGGCTAAGCCCAGGAACCAGTCGATGGAATGATAGAACCAGTGCTAAGTCCCTTTGTGACCTCCATAATTTTTTTTATATCCATTCGTTATTATGAAAAACAATACTTAGAGCCCTTACAAATATCGATTAGAAGCTCCTCCCATCTTGTCAGTGCTCTCTTTTATTAGATGCCTTGTGGAATTCCTAGTATAGGTAATTTCTCTAAAACTCAGAGATCAACATCTTTCCTCATCTGGAAAATAAGAGGATTGGGCTGGAGATGGTTAATGTCTCTTCTCAAAATGTTGCCTCCTTGTTCTTGCTATTGAAGATCCATGCCCTTGCTATCACAGAACAGGGCAGAAAGTAAATATTTAGCTTGCTACAAAAATCAATCAGGCAAATAAAAAATATTTATAATAGTTCTAATATGTTAGGGCTGAATTCCGAAGTGCAAGTGTTTATTGGGAATCTGAGGATTGGTCCTTTGAGTAACTGCCTTGTGTTTTACTCAGTAAAAATCTGGCTAGGAAGAAAAAAATAGGAAATCATGTTTTTGTTTTTAACCTAAGCTTTTTTTTTCTATGGACAGAATAAAAGTAAATTTCCTGAGATGCCTTTGGATACTACCCTTATAGAAAAATAAAAGTGATAAATTACACCATTTACTAGAAGCAGTTCTTCCTTTCCTTAAATGGGTTTATCCCCTCTGCTGGCCTAACTTTAATTTTAATAGTAGGTGTTTCTGGGGCCGGCCCGGTGGCGCACTGCTATAGTGCACCGCTTGGGAGTGTGGTGGCGCTCCCGCCGAGGGTTCGGATCCCACATACAGACCGGTTCCCGCTCACTGGCTGAGCGAGGCGCGGGAGCAACACTGAGGGTTGCGATCCCGTTGCCGGTCCCGGTCCGGTACGGGGGCGACACTGAGGGTTGCGATCCGTTGCCGGACACGGAAAAAGACAAAAAGGAAAAAATAGTAGGTGTTTCTCTCTTAAAATATTAATTAGCCTCACTAACTCATGTCAGCATTTGGTTGGGTTTGGCCTGGTACCAGGAACATACAGCTAAATGGACATGGAACCACGGACCTGAAATATCCAATTTATAGCAATATTTCAATCAGTGGCCAGTGTGGAGGAACATTTCACTGGCCTGTTACCATTTAAAAAATTTGACTACAGGCCTTAGGGAAGGAGGTGTGAGACTACCAGCTTTATTTTGAGATGCTTCCATCTTTGTTTGCTGGTTTGAGTAGTCAGTGAAGTTAATTATTCATTAACAAGTGGAGCATAAATGCTGAGGGCTGCTGTTTGTTTCAAGTAGGGACATTTGGCTTGGCATCCCTTTTGTAGAGGTTTCCTACCTACACATAAAATTGTGGACTGGGGCTGGCCAGTTAGTTCAGTTGGTTAGAGTGCAGCCTTGTAACACCAAGGTCACAGGTTCGGATCCCCATGCCAGTCAGCCACCAAAAAAAAAAAAAAAAAATTGTGGATTGGGGTTCCTTGCTAGATTATAAAATATTAGAGCAGTGCCTATAATAACTGAAGTTAAAATGTACTTTAGGACTGAAATAAGCCAGACCTGTGGTTTTAGAATGAAAATACACAGCAACTAGCAAGGATGGCATGATTGGGGGTGAAGAAGTCACTGGAATGAAGTATGGACTAATCCTTCAGTTGCCTTCAAACATATATTTCAGAAATATGCTGAGCGCCAGTCCAGCAAACCCGAAATACGTGATGGAATGGAACTTGTTCCTCAGCCAGAGGATAACACATCCATCTGCCAGTGCCACAGGAAAAAGCTTTTAAGAGAAGAGCTTTAAGTAAGCCCAGATTCATACTTTGGTGTTTGTCAGCTACGTCTCTACGAGAAGCCCTAAGATAGAATCTAAGCTGTGAAGAACAGTACAGAAGACTTTACCCAGTGGACCAGCTCTCTTGGTGGCTTTATTTTTTTTTTTTTTCCTTTTTGAGACCAGCCGCACCGCGCTCAGCCAGTGAGCGCTGTGAGCGCACTGGTCATCCCTATATAGGATCCAAACCCACGGCGGGAGTGCTACTGCGCTCCCAGCGCTGCACTCTCCGAGTGCGCCACAGCTTGGCCCTTGGTGGCTTTATATACTGTGGATGGATATAGCAGTATTTGAACAAGTATTACCAAATAATCTTTGGATATTAATTTCCTTTGAGTAAAAATTGCTATTATCAGCGTCACAATGACTCTAAAAAGAAAACTTGGGCATCACAGCAGATAGAGAGGCTTGCCAAAATAGAAATCACCCTTAATGAAACTGCTTACATCATATTTATTGGTTTATTTCTATACCTTGTTCACTTTCCCTCTTCCGCTTCCAACTGTGAAGAGAAAAATCTTTGTGTAGGGTTTGTTTGTTTATGTCCCCCTCACTGCATAATTTCTCCTGTTACAAGCTGCTTTTGTTTTTTGGTAATGGTGGCCTCCTCTTGGGAGGTCTGATGGGAATAATTAAGGAAGACTGGATGACTCTGCTATTAAAAGTAGCATGGACACTGTGGAGGGAATATTTTTTAAAGCACTGCTCATATCTTTTTAACTAAAATTTTATCAAGGCCTGAGACAAAATTAAGGAGCTATTGTGCCTTAAGCTAGTAATTCCCAATGTATCTGGGTTATATACCCATCAAGAACAACATAGTTATTAATGTAGATGAAGGTATCCTAAATGCATCATTTATTATCTATATAAAAATCTAGATAAAAGATAGCTGTAGTCAGGTTGGGATCTTTAATTCTTTCTAACCTTGAAAAGGGATTCTTGAAAATATTGAAAACCCCTACAACAAGCTTCAGGAATCCTGCTATCTTGGGTTTTGCTAATAAGGCTGCATCAGAGGCAAACACCCATTCCTCACTCCACCCTTCCTCTATTTCAGTCAGTTTCATTGCTAAGATTAAGACCTTGGAAATTTCCTTGCTTTTGAGGACAGGGTCAAGACTTACAACTCTCGTAGCCCAGAAATTCATTACATACTTCTTGTAGTGCCACCAATCTAAGATTTAGTTCACTAACATGCTCTAGAACAAGAGCTATCCACACTCCCAATTTAAAAATGTTTACTCCCCTGATTAAAATATTTACTTAATCTGAAAAACAATGTAATCACTTTAAAGCAGTCATATTTATTCTTTTTGAAGAACAATAAAAACACAGGATTTTTTTTTAACTAGACAAAAACAAAACCAAATTTCAGAACAGTGTAATGAAAGCCAAGTATCCAAGACAAACTCTAATACCCATCAATTGTTCAAAACCACAAGTGCACAAATATAAAATAAAGAGCAAGCTGTCCTGAGACTGTATCCTAATGAATCCACGTCTTACATATATTGTACAAAGAGTTTGGGGCTTGTCAGAACTGGGATTTTGGCAAGAAAAGTTGCTTTCCTCACACCTCTCTGTCCTCCAACCCTAGGTCCTGATGGCTAATGGCATTTTGTTAGAAATATCTTAAAATTTTAAAATTTTATAACTTGCTGCCAAACAGTTAAAAGCAAGATGAGACAAACCAGACAGCTTCAGGGAGTGGAATAGAAAAGATGTGCTGGAGAAATAAAGTGGAAAACCTCAAGAAATTCTATAGAGAGCAAGCAGCCTTAGTCTAGATAATCCTCCACCTCACTAACTCTGCCATAGACTTTAAAAAAAAAAACGGTTTTTTAAAAACTTTTTTTAAAAAAGTTTTCCATGAGAGTGTTCATTGAAAAACAAGTTACAGAACATGTAAAATGTAAAACCATTCATGTAAAAAAAAAAAGTGTATCCATGTGGTTGAAAGTTTGGAAGGAGATTCACCAAATCTGAGGAGAAGATGGAGAGACGGGAATTTTTACCTTTTGCTCTATACCTTTCCATAATATTTAAATTGTTTTTACTATACATATGAATATAAAGTTGTAAAATAAAGAAAAATGCCAACCTGGGAAAATAAATGCACAAAAGATATAAATAAGACAAGAAAACAGATATTTATATTTTTCATTATGCTGTTTTTAAATCTAAGTCTGGAATTTTATATGATAGGACATATTATATATATTTTTAAATAAAGTAAATGTCTAAATATAAATTTGAAAAAGACAAATTTTTTTAATTAAGAAAGAGGTTGTAACCACCTACAGGCCTGGTATTTCTGTAACTGAGGTGGTATAATTTTAATTCTATTATGTCTTCATGAATAAATGAACCAAAGCTTCTATCACCACCATTCAATCCCTAGTGGGCAGAAATCTAATATTAGAGAGAAGAATGTGGGCTAGACACCATTATTTTGAATTGATGGTGAAAATGTAAGAAGGATAGGCAGAGGACAAATGGTCTCCTGGCATAATAAGGCCAAGGAAGAAATATAAAGAAATATAAAGTTCTTGTTTGGAGGGAAAGGAAATCATCCTTGTGGTGGTGAGGTGTGTTTGACTTCAAATAGTTGACAAGAAAATTAGCCAGACCCTAGGGTAAAAATGATTCTTTTATGCACGGAATCACTGTTTATTGTTTCCCAACCACTACTGCCCCCAGCCCATTCCAACATCTTGTGGAGCTGTTCCAGACACAGATCAAAACCAAGTCTCTTCTAAACCAAGTACTCTGTAGAGTTGTGTGGAAGTGGGAGACGCTAACTTTAAACTGATACCTTACACTGAAACATTTCTTAGACAGAAGGAAGGTAAAAAACTGGGGTGTCTTTACTGTGTAGGAAGACAGCAAATCCTGGAAGTGGGCAGAAGTGGTGATAGCATATGTAGAGGGAAACAAGACAGCCAGAAGGGAGGGAAAGAGGGGAAGAGGGTTATTCATAAAAGAATATTTTTGCAAGACCCCCGTTCTGTTTTGTTTCCAACTGAGTGTACTTCAATGCAATTCTTATGCTAACCACCCATTAGCAGGAGACTCCACAAGTTTAAAGGCTCAGTCTTTTATAAGACTGCCCTTACACCAGCTGCAAGTGAGGTTCTCAGGCCACCTACACTTCTTTTTTTTTTTTTTTTTGTCTTTTGTCTTTTTCCGTGTCCGGCAACGGATCGCAACCCTCAGTGTTGCCCCCGTACCGGACCGGGGACCGGCAACGGGATTGCAACCCTCGGTGTTGCCCCCGCGCCTCGCTCAGCCAGCGAGCGGGAACCGGTCTGTATGTGGGATCCGAACCCTCAGGCGGGAGCGCCGCCGCGCTTCCCAAGCGGCGCACTATCCAGTGCACCACCGGGCCGGCCCTGGCCACCTACACTTCTGACCAACTGGCTAAAAATTCAGAGATTCCCATGACCCCCACCCCCCATTTGATGATTCACCAGAACAACTCACAAAACTCAGGTAAGCATAATGATTACAGTTTTAGTATAAAGGATATATATATAGGACAAGGTTGCTGAAAGTGACAACCCTCTAATCACGTGCTTGGTCTATCTGGTGATCATCCCTCACCTGAAGCCATCTAAGGGCCCACCACAAGTACCTCATTAGTATAACAAGAACACTCCTATCACTCAGGAAATTCAAAAGGTTTTTGCAGCCGTGCGCCAGGAATCAGAGACAAAGACCAGATATAGTCTTCATAATACCACAACACGCCTGAGGGCCTGGGAACTGAGGACCACCTAAGCCATGAGGCTTGTTGTAAGCGTATGAGGTAGCAATATTATCCCCACTCCAGAAGGTTTGGGACAAACACCTGACTGAGCCTCTCAGTAAAGATCTGCATTGACCAAATCCTATTTAATTTAGTGCAGGAGGGCCAGCCCATGGCTCCCTTGGGAGAGTGTGGTGCTGATAATGTAAGATCGGGCCGAAAGCACGAATCTTAACTTGATGGGAAGGCTCATCTCGCAAAGACCAGGAGGCACAGAGATCGATGCACAAGCAAGAGGTTTTTATTTCCGGCCTGCTGGAGGTCGCCCCGTTTTCAGGACAGGAGTGGCCCCGAGCTCTTAACTCAAGCATCTTTTATACAGTTTGGTAGGCAGGCTTTCGTAATAGGCTGGGTTGTATGCCGTTTATTGGCCACTTTAAGCAATTTTTAAAACCATTGGGCTTTTAGCTTTTGGCAGGCAAAGGAAAGACTGAGGTATTGACCAATGGTCCACCCCCCTCCGCTCTTTCCTCCCTTGGTTTCCAAAGATAAGGTGTCATGCTGTTCCTGCAATCAGGTGAGCATACTCCCTTCCTGGGACAGGGTGAACTTTGGGCTCTTTGGAAAGTCCCTTCCCCCTGGCAGCGGAAAGTCCTAATCTTCTGGCGACGGAAGGTCTTAAGCACCTGGTAATGGAAGGTCTTAAGTATCTGGTATTGTTTACCAAAAAGGTTGGGGGTTATCTCTACTTCCACAATAACACCAAGGCCATGGGTTCAGATCCCTATATAGTCATGGCCGGTTAGCTCTCTAGGGAGAGTGGTGCTGACAACACCAAGTCAAGGGTTAAGATCCCCTTACCAATCATCTTTAAAAAAAAAAAAAAAAAGTGGTCCTGATAATTTAGTACAGGGCATGTAGTAAATAGGCACAGAGTAAGCCTCCATCCATGGTTTCCAAGGGTTATTATCCACACCTTTATTGTTAACTAGTGGGCAGCCAGAAGTACCAAGCTTCAGATGACAAATGAACCAGCTAGAGAAACATGAAGATTGTTTGCCCTTGACACCTCACTCCATCTGCTCAACTTTCCTGTCCCCAAAGTATAATGAGAACCCTCCTGCCACCACCTGCATTACTAGTACCACTAGCACTGTAGCAATGGGATGGAAAAGGAAAGGACCTGCCACCTGATGGGAGCTAAATGTATCCTCCAAGA